TTGTGCTACTAGCTCTAATGAAACCGCAATGGCGAAACGCTGGTTGAATTTAAAGTTCTTATTATCATCAGAAGAGTAAAGGTCATTTTTTTTTTCAAACTTTATGATCAAAATGTCTAAATCTCACTGGTATACAGTACAGATTCTGAAAAACAACAATATATTTACATCACAAGCACAGAGAAAGCTCACAGTTAATAGATTATCTACTTGTTCCTTTAATTTTTACTGGAAGGTTTGTTCCTTTCATTTTTACTGGAAGGCTTGTTTCTTTAATTTTTACTAGAAGGCTTGTTTCTTTAATTTTTACTAGAAGGCTTGTTCCTTTAATTTTTATTGGAAGACTTGTTCCTTTAATTTTTACTGGAAGGCTTGTTCCTTGAATTTTTACTGGAAGACTAGTTCCTTTAATTTTTACTAGAAGACTTGTTCCTTTAATTTTTACTGGAAGGCTTGTTCCTTGAATTTTTACTGGAAGACTTGTTCCTTTAATTTTTACTAGAAGACTTGTTCATTTAATTTTTACTAGAAGGCTTGTTCCTTTAATTTTTACTAGAAGACTTGTTCCTTGAATTTTTACTGGAATACTTGTTCCTTTAATTTTTACTGGAAGGCTTGTTCCTTGAATTTTTAGTAGAAGTCTTGTTCCTTTATTTTTACTGGAAGGCTTGTTTCTTTAATTTATATAAAAGGCTTATTTCTTTATTTTTACTAGAAGGCTTATTCCTTTAATTTTTACTGAAAGGCTTGTTTTTTTTTTAATTTTTACTTGAAGGCTTGTTCCTTTATTTTTTACTGGAAGGCTTGTTTTTTAATTTTTACTGGAAGGCTTGTTCCTTTAATTTTTACTGGAAGACTTGTTCCTTTAATTTTTACTGAAAGGCTTGTTGTTTTAATTTTTACTTGAAGGCTTGTTTCTTTAATTTTTCCTAGAAGGCTTGTTTCTTTAATTTTTACTTAAAACCAATCAAGTAAACATACAGTTTGTAAATGTTTTATCGGTTTCCTCTTGTAGTGATTATAAATACATGTAAAATAAATGTCCAAAGAATAGTAAAACGTTCCTCTTGAAGGAGTGTGTGAAGAAAACAAAACATACACGATACCATTAACTAGATATCAGTCAATACATGTTCGAATGGCGTATTATTAATTTGTCTTTGAATTTTTTGAAATTGAGTTCGAGGAAATTTATGCAATTATCAGAGTCTTGAAATTACAACGTATATGTAGAGAGGATAATGACATTGTAATATTTGTCGTAAACCCAAATGACTTAAAGTCTAAACCATTTCCTATTCAATATGTTCCGTTTAAATACATGCCTTAATATTTAAACCAGCTTTAATTTCCTTTCATACCAATACTACTGTAGCGACATAGTCCTCGTAAAAGAGTCAGAAGTCACGCACAACAAGGCATTCGGTTTTCAAAGGGAAGAAAATAATAGAGATTAACATGCTGAATAGCCTAATGACATGCCTATCCATGTCCGTTGAAGAGAGGTTTCGGAACAATTCAGATTCATTTAAATAAAAAAAAGGAGTAAAAACCGAAACTGCAGCGATTGGGGGAATTTTATTTGGAAGCAATGACTCCATTTTCTTGTGGGGGAAAAAACCTCCAATCAGAAAACTATAACATTTCAGTCTGATACGAAGTTCTCTTTCAGGTCTCCACAAATGACACCAATATTTGTTATTCCTCTATCTATGTATCAGTTTATCCGCCAGTCCGTGTGTCTATCTGTCTATCCGCAACTTTGTACTTTCACCGTTTGTCTGTCTATTTGTCCATCTATTCGCCTGTTTGTCTATCTTTCTGTTCACTCGTCCTTTCTTTTGTCCGTCTGTTTGTCCATCTATTTAACTGTCCATCCCCTTCTTCTGGTTCTTTGTATATCTATTCTTTCCATTATCTATCTAAGTATTGCACGAAAGTGTTATATTGTAGTCCACTTCATGTCACCTTGAAGTGTTCCATGCAAAGCACTTTGGGACACATTTTAACCATTTTATTACGCAGTGTTCTCACTACGAAGTTATAGTATATGAAACACCCCCAGGTGCTACTGGACATGTTTTAACCACTAAATTAATCTAAAACGTATTCGTGTACTAACACAAAAAAGCACGATATAAAGTAGAGAATGCTGTCCTTTATCTAAGCTCTTTTTCAAAAGGTAGCCAATTTGTGTTGTTGCTTAATGCGCGTGAAAAAAAATAGATCGCTTTGTTTAGTCAACAAATACGCTATCAATAAGTTGAAAATAAAGAATAATTTGCACCGAAACTCAGAACATAAGAATCCTTAGTCAGTGACGTATTATTTGTTTTGCAAAGTGTCTCCCGCGAGGACCCATTGTTAGGTATCATCTATATGTAAACATGTCATTCCTGCTTTGCATACATTCATAAAATGTCACGTTTCCATCTTGGGGTCACGTTCAAGAGAAACTGGATAAAAATAATGTTAATTTGACTTTAGTGACCTTAGAAGACCGTACATGAATCTTGAAAGATTCGATTTCTGTCGATCGCTGTATTAGTTTATTCACAAAGATGGAATTCCAGACTACCTACTGGAAAATGTAGTACGTACGACGTATTTATTTCGACATATCTTTTTGGCACGAAATAAATACTAACTAATTCTTACAACACTGAGATCGAAATAGACAGACAAGTGAAGAAAAATTACAAACTAGCTAGATAGAAATGGGAATACCTTGCTTTATATTAGAAAACGGCTTCCCGTTGGCTCAGCTGTAAATGGACTTATAACACTAAAAATTGAGTTTCGATACACGTGGTAGGCGTAACACAAATAACCCATTGTGTGGCTTTGCGCTTAACAAAAAACAATTATTACAAAACAAATTGCAAAAAAAAAGAGAGAAATATATTTAATTATATGAGAACATATTTTTATTCTTTTATTAGGACAGAATGTATCTAATTTAATGTTTTCTGTGTATGGCTTTTATAAGAACCTTATTAAAACAGTTGTAAGTCTTTGTGTATTTTCTAATAGCAAAGCCACATCGGGCTACCTGCTGTAGCCACCGAGGGAAATCAAACCTCTGTTTCTAGCGTTGTAAATCTGAAGACTTACCGCTGTCCCCTTTCTGAATAATTTCTATAGAACGTAGACAAATAACGCTGTTAATTTGGGTTAAATGTTAACCAAAATCTATACAATTAAAAGGTGTCAATTCAATCTGTTATAAATTCGTGTTCTGCACAATTGAAACTGAAAGAAGCTTAACGACTTTTAATTAAATGAACACAATATACAATACTGAACGTTTCTAACTATATATCACACAGGAATTGAATATTTTTAACTGTATATCACACAGGAATTGAACATTTCTAACTGTATATCACACAGGAATTTCTAACTGTATATCACACAGGAATTGAACATTTCTAACTGTATATCACAACAGGAATTGAATATTTCTAACTGTATATCACACAGGAATTGAACATTTCTAACTGTATATAACACAGGAATTGAACATTTCTAACTCTATATAACACAGGAATTGTACATATTTAACCGTATATAACACAGGAATTGAACATTTCTAACTGTATATCACACAGGAATTGAACATATTTAGCTGTATATAACACAGAAATTGAACATTTCTAACTGTATATAACACAGGAATTGAACATTTCTAACTGTATATCACACAGGAATTGAACATTTCTAACTGTATATCACACAGGAATTGAACATATTTAACCGTATATAACACAGGAATTGAAGATTTCTAACTGTATATCACACAACAGGAATTGAACATATTTAACTGTATATAACATGGGAATTGAACATTTCTAACTGTATATCACACAGGAATTGAACATTTCTAACTGTACATCACACAGGAATTGAACATTTCTAACTGTATATCACACAGAAAGTGAACATTTCTAACTGTATATCACACAGGAAGTGAACATTTCTAACTGTATATCACACAGGAAGTGAACATTTCTAACTGTACATCACACAGGAATTGAACATTTCTAACTGTATATTTTGGTGGTTTAATCTTCACTAATATGTTGAAATATTAAAGTAACTTCTGCAGATACGAAGTAAAGAACTGTGTTTTAAACTTCTGCAAATATGAAATGAGGAACTGTGTTTTGAAGTTCTGTAGGTACAAAGTTAGGAACTGTGTTTTGAAGTTCTGCATGTACAAAGTTAGGAACTGTGTTTTGAAGTTTTGCAGGTACAAAGTTAAGAACTGTGTTTTATCTTTAGAGCTCTAACTTCAGCATTGCTAAACTCTCCATACAAAACATTGAAATCCAAGTGTGAGTACTTATAGTTACCATCTTTAGAGCTCTAGCTTCAGCATTGGTAAACTCTCCATACAAAACATTAAAAGCCAAGTGTGAGTACTTATAGTTACCATCTTTAGAACTCTAGCTTCAGCATTGGTAAACTCTCCATACAAAACATTATAATCCAAGTGTGAATACTTATAGTTACCATCTTTAGAGCATTTATGTAGAAAACAGAAAATTGTCATTTCCTCGTGAAAGACGAAAATAAAACTTATTTTTTTTATAAACAACAGAAATTTACTTTTAACGTGGAAGATGAACTTTACATTTAGTGATCTTCAAACCACAAAGATATGTTATCGAATTCACAAAATGATTTCAAACACATAACTTGTTTCGCTACCATAGACTAAGAAAAGACACATTATTTGTCAGGATATCTTGTTTTGTGTACGTGTATTGAAATTTAAATAAAAAATACGTCAAGTTTTGCCGCAAAATACGAGTTGCGTTAGCAGCCATTGGTTCGGAGCACATCTGGTTTAGAGCACACCTAAGTGTTCTTTTGCGTGATAAAATAAGTTAGTTTGGGGAAATTTTATATCTTGTTTTATTGTGTTTTTACCAATACAAAATGAAAGGTACAATAATACTTAATAGATATTTTAATTATGACCTTTTTTTATATAGTAAACTCTCGAGCAAGTGGCAGTCGTGACTCCAGTCTTGCCCTGTTGTTGTTGTCCATCTTGTGGCAGTTGTTAGAACTACGAAAGGTTTGCGTTCTGCTGACTTCTACTTCTTGGTATCTCAAGAGCTATTGCATTTCCTAAGTCACCATCATCCAGTCCTGAAGAGCTTGTGGATTTTGTGTTATCAGATGGATTTAAAATACTTGAAAAATATCAGTTGATTTTTCCCCCCGTGTGGATGTTTATGAATGTGTGGCTCATATTCTTATAGGACTCGTGATGCTGAAGTAAACAGTCGTGTATCACATCCGAATGGAAAACAGAAGCTGGAAAAGTGAACAGCAGACGAAAGAGAATACGAATAAAATCTGAGCTGTATTTTCATTTTAAGTTGAAATTGAAATAAAAGAGATAATCCACTTCTTTAAACCGACGAGTGAATGAAATTTTCTTGCTGTATAACTTCTCCTTCTTTATTGATTGTAAGTTTAGGAAGTTTGTTTAAGAATTAAATCATTATGAATCCTTCGCCTGGTTTCATGTATTTCGTGTCCTTTTTTGACATGATGCAAATCTGTTTAAATGCTCACAATGGAAACTAGATTGAAACTGGAACTCATAAGGGAAACACGCTAGCTTTCAAATCGATTTTGTGTATTTCTCGAACATTGATCTACTGAATAATCATCGCACATGTTCGGTTCACCGACTTGCACGCTTCACAGGAGATCACGGGTTCGAACTCTAGAGAAATTGGCGTTATTTACTTTCATACTTTTTTAGCATATAGTAATAAGAAAAAACTTAGCAAGACATTCTCGTATCACGATGTCTCTCTTTCTCTGTACATACTTGTATTACCGAAGACATACATTCAAAAGAAGACAGGGAAGTAAAACTATCGAATTCAGACGCTTACTGTAAATTAAAGTAGAAGTTTAAAACACAGTTCCTAACTTTGTATCTGTAGAAGTTTAAAACACAGTTCCTAACTTTGTATCTGTAGAAGTTTAAAACACAGTTCCTTACTTTGTACCTACAGAACTTCAAAACACAGTTTCTAACTTTGTACCTGTAGAAGTTTAAAACACAGTTTCTAGCTTTGTATCTGTAGAAGTTTAAAACACAGTTTCAACTTTGTATCTGTAGAAGTTTAAAACACAGTTTCTAACTTTGTACCTACAGAACTTCAAAACACAGTTCTAACTTTGTACCTACAGAACTTCAAAACACAGTTCCTTACTTTGTACCTACAGAACTTCAAAACACAGTTCCTTACTTTGTACCTACAGAACTTCAAAACACAGTTTCTAACTTTGTATCTGTAGAATTTCAAAACACAGTTTCTAACTTTGTACCTGCAGAAGTTCAAAACACAGTTCCTAACTCTGTACCTGCAGAACTTCAAAACACAGTTCTTAACTTTGTATCTGTAGAATTTCAAACATAGTTCCTAAACACAGTTTCTAACTTTGTATCTGTAGAATTTCAAAACACAGTTTCTAACTTTGTATCTGTAGAATTTCAAAACACAGTTCTTAACTTTGTATCTGTAGAATTTCAAACACAGTTCCTAACTCTGTACCTGCAAAACTTCAAAACACAGTTCCTAACTTTGTACATGCAGAACTTCAAAACACAGTTCCTAACTTTGTATCTGTAGAATTTCAAAACACAGTTCCTAACTTTGTATCTGTAGAATTTCAAAACACAGTTCTTAACTTTGTATCTGTAGAATTTCAAAACACAGTTCTTAACTTTGTATCTGTAGAATTTCAAAACACAGTTCCTAACTTTGTATCTGTAGAAGTTTAAAACACAGTTCCTAATCTTGTATCTGTAGAAGTTTAAAACACAGCTCCTAACTTTGTATCTGTAGAATTTCGGTAACTATAAGTATTCACACTTGGCTTTTAATGTTTTGTATGGAGAGTTTATTCTAGACTGTGTTCGTTGATAGAATATTCTAGACTGTGTTCGTTGGTAGAATATTCTAGACTGTGTTCGTTGATAGAATATTCTAGACTGTGTTCATTGGTAGAGTATTCTAGACTGTGTTCGTTGATAGAATATTCTAGACTGTGTTCATTGGTAGAATATTCTAGACTGTGTTCGTTGATAGAATATTCTAGACTGTGTTCATTGATGGAATATTCTAGACTGTGTTCGTTGATAGAATATTCTAGACTGTGTTCATTGACAGAATATTCTAGACTGTGTTCATTGACAGAATATTCTAGACTGTGTTCGTTGATAGAATATTCTAGACTGTGTTCGTTGATAGAATATTCTAGATTATGTTCTACCTTGGTCCTTTTTACATCTCTAAAATTCTCCCCCTTTTAGCAAACTTAAAATTGTATAAATAATAGTATTATTTTCTTTGGTTGTATTAAGTAAGTGTTTCCAATAGTTACGATTAATGCACTGTATATAATACATTAGTAATAATAGTAATGATACATTAGTAATAATAGTAATAATACAAGAGGGAATCCTCAATAGCCGAGGCACTTGAAATTCTTTCAAGCAGAATTAGAGTAAATTAATCTATGAGACCTTTGTTTCCCTTTCTATTAGCTATAATTTTTTGCGCTTATACCCGATTCGATTTTATTACTTATCAGATTCTCTAACAGCCTACCCTCAAATTGAAATTTCTTTAGGCAGGATTAGAATAAATTTATCTATGAGACTTTGGGCGTATTCAAATATATCAATCAAAAGGATTTGACCTCCTCAATCCCAAATGGTAATTGGATCTCTAATCGGTCAAGAGTTTTTACTTGAAAAACTCAGAGCCGCTCTAAGGATCGCTATGCCTCGCTAACAATAGATCAAAGTACTTGTCTTTACAAACAACTCTCTCGTATCTACCTTAACTATACTTACCAATTAATCAAGTGGTGGAATATAAAGCTCATTTGTATCTTATATTTCTGTATAACATGAGATTTCTAGTTACCATACAGTGCTAAACCCTACATACAAAACATTAAATGTTAACTGTGAATAATTATAGTTACCATCTTTAGAGCACTAAATTCAGCATACAGTGCTAAATCCTCCATACAAAACATTAAATGTTAACTGCGAATAACTTTAGTTACCATCTTTAGAGCACTGACTTCAGCATACAGTGCTATTCTATCAATGAACACAGTCTAGAATATTCTATCATTTCTCTTACAATAATGTGAATACAAGTCAAAATATTTTGCTTTCTTCTTGAGAAGGGATTTCAGTCTTAAATCCCTTTTACTTTTGTTGTTGCCAAGCGCAAAGCTACGCAATGGGCTATCTGTGTGTTTCCTTGTTTTAACAATGGTAATATACGGATTAATGTCACTGTTTCTTTGTTTAAACAATATTTCTAGACGGCTTAATGTAATTGTTTTTTGTTTAAACAATATTTCTAGACGGCTTAATGTAATTGTTACTTTGTTTTAACAATGTTTATATACGGTTTGTGTTACTGTTTCCTTGTTTTAACAATGTTTATATACGGCTTAATGTCACTGTTTCTTTGATTTAACAAAATTTTTATACGGTTTATGTTACTGTTTCCTTGTTTTAACAATGTTTCTATACGACTTAATGTTACTGTTTCTTTGTTTTAACAGTGTTTCTATACGGTCTAATGTCACTGTTTCTTTGTTTTAACAGTGTTTCTATACGGTCTAATGTTACTGTTTCTTTGTTTTAACAATGTTTCTATACGGCATAATGTCACTGTTTCTTTGTTTTAACAATGTTTCTAGACGGCATAATGTCACTGTTTCTTTGTTTTAACAGTGTTTCTATACGGTCAAATGTCACTGTTTCTTTGTTTTAACAGTGTTTCTATACGGTCTAATGT